TAAACCCGGAACCCGAAACCCTAAAATCCGAAACGCAGAAGCTTGAAACTTCAACCCGAAACCCGAACCCCCGCCCCGGAGTTCTAATCATTAAGGTCCCTGTATCATTGCCCTAGACAGAAAGTTCTTAACCCGAAGCCTGACATCTTCATTCCCACCTAGGACCCAGATATTTCTACAGAGACCTCGTGAGGTGCAGTGGTGCACAACTCGCTTCAGATGGTCCGCTGGAAGCGTTGGGCCTACTACTTCGTGGTGCTCTTCTTCCGAGGAGACTTGGCTTCAGTTTAGGATTCAGGGTTATCCCGAAGTTCTAAAGCCTAAACGCTAAAAGCTGCAACCCCAAACCGTATACCCTGAAGCCTAAAGCTTAAAGCCTAAACCTAAACTCCAAACCCGTAAACCCAACAGCCCGAAACCTTACAGCACACCTTAAAAGGGTTTAGGGTTTAGNNACCCTAAACGTTTAGGGTTTAGGGTGTCAGGCTTAAGGCCCTAAAACCTGAAACCCTAAACCCTAAACCCAACAGCCCTAAACCTTAAGGGTACAGGCTTCGAGCCAGGTTTGGAGCTGTTTAGGTTTCTGCCTGCGGGTATCGGAGCCTCGAGCCGGATTCCAATCAAGGCTTCAGCCGCTTGGTGTAGAGGTTTTGTTATCTCCTGATAGCAGCGGTTTGGGGTTTCGGGCTAAGGGTATTAGGGTTTAGGGTTTAGGGCTAAGGGTATTAGGGGTGAGGGCTTTGGGTAATTGTAGTGTGATTTATCCCCGAAACTCTACGGCCTCTACATGAAGCTTTCCCAGAGTCATGGTCATGGGTACGTATGCCCCTGTGCCGATGCACACCGTTTGCAGATATCATCCTCGATGCTGCCTGCGGCAAGATGCACGGAATCATGCCGCTGGTCGTGTGGACGGACAGCGAAGCCGGGAAGAACATTGGCATGACATCATGATGCAAAGCCTCCTCCCAAGGGTCAGACACCTTGAGCTCTGGGTGATGCTCGTGCAACATCACACGGACACTGTTCCATTGGTGGTTCGTGATGATCCTGCGGCAACAGATGAGCGAGGAAACATGAAGCTTTTTCCGGCCGATACCTCTAGTTATTATTATTATTATTATTATTATTAGCACAGCATTTTTGCTGTGCTGCCTGGGGACTGCACCAAGTTCATGATCGCCTTAAGACCCTAAGCCCTGAACACGAAACCCCGACTTCCCTTCGAGCCAGCTCCCAGTGAGCTCTGGGGCCTCACATAGTTTTGAGTGAAACTCTCAAGCCTAAGGCACTAAACTCTATCTCGTAAACTCCAAACCCTAATTAGCGAGACATGGCTTGGGGTTCAACATTCGGCTTCGCAGAAAGAAGCCTTACTGTGTTTTGGGGTGTAGGGTTTACTGTGAGGTCCTTCTATGACAGGGGAAGTTCGTGCTGTTCACCTAAACCCGAACAGGTTGAAGATTCAAAGATCAAAGTCTAAGCCTTGCAGCCTACATGGCCCAAACACCCTGAACTTCCTAAACCCTTGCCCTAGAAGAGTTTTCCCCTCAATCGCCCTCCGAGCCTTCAGTCGATTCAGCCCGGGGTTTGCAAGAACAACTAAGCCTTTAAATCCTTATGCCCCAGAACCGAAGTACACCCTCAATGCACTGACAGCTAAAACCTTAAACCCCAAACCCTGAA